TATCTAACATCGTGTTCCATGTGGCCCTGTGCTGGGTTTGGGTGTATTGAATTATTAAGTTGTTTACAGTTGCAACTGTACTGTAAGTTGATGAGCGGGCTCTGGACCGTAAAACATCTGTTTTGAGACCAGTCGGGCTAACTCATCCAGGGCCAGCATACCCTTTGATCAATGCAAGCTCAAGGGTATTACTACTTGCACATTCCTAAACCAACCTAGCCGTCCTTTTACAGTGACCAAGTGCCTGCAGGGCAGCCTGGCTGTCACTGGAGATTGTGATAGTTTTCTTCTTTGTAATGCATAAGAAGTTCTTGCACTAAGCGTTAATCCTATCAATTCTGACTGGAATACAATAGAAAGTTTACCTAGTGGTTGGGTAATAAGGAGGTTCAGTTCTTTGGAGTAAAAACCAGTGCCCTCTATTGTTTTAGATCTATCCGTGAAGATAAATATATCTGGTGGGGATGCCACATACTCATCAAGAAAGATGTGATAGTTTTTCTCGAATATGAATTGAGGAGTGACCTTAATCGCCTTGTCCAGAATTCCAGATATTCAACAACCCCTGTATTTTTCAGACGCAAGGATGCCATGACGGCTGTGGGAGTTATTCGCATCGCGCTCGTGCAAGCAAGTCTTTGCACATGATTAAGAATTGCGACGGTTGTGGAGAGTCTGGTTCTAGGCCACCAGACAATGGGGGTTTACAGTATAGTTGAATTCCGCAGTTCTAATTTAATAAGCGTGTACCTGAAACCATAAAACATTTTTTTGGACAGTAAAAGTTTATTTAAAAATAGAGGCTGAATAGCAAAAAAATAATGAACATGTGCGGTTTTAAAGGTTTATTCAAAACGATATGATTGTGGCGGGCTCTGTGACGTAATAAGCCCGACCAATCAGCTCCTAGAACCATTCAGATGACATAACGACTTGACAATATTGCAGGAGAATGGCATTTATAACTTGCGTCATCTGTCACAGGCACTTGTCACTTTCGTGCTAGATGCAATTAAACATCCCTCTCAAAACGTCAAATGTGACAAACGTCAGACCCTCGCGTAAGGTTGCCAGCTCACTTCTACGTGATTGGTTGTAGGTTTGTGACGTATTTAGTCTGAAGCGTTTCAAATTCGTACTAAAAACACAGCTTTTCAATAATTTATTTTGGGTTTATTTTACTCGCAAATAAAAATTGAGGACACACGGGTCTTTTTATTTTTAATGTACTTTGTGGATCAGAAATAAAAAATGAAGGCGTGATGACCCCATTGCTTCATAGCAGAACACAGGTCTTATCACCCAAATATACAGCCATAAGACACCTTTAGGGGCAGAGCTGGGCAGAATACTTTCAAAAAGTATTTGAATACTAAATACTTTTACGTCCAGCACAAGCGAATACTAGATACAGATACGAAAAGTATTCAAATACTTTAGAATGTATTCGAATACTATAAAAAGTATTCGAATACTTTGAAAAGTATTTCATTATCTTACTTTCAAAAGTATTCGAATACAGTAAAAAGTATTCAAATACTTGTCACTCAAATACATTAAAAATTTTAAATAGTGTACTAGATCAAAGGCTTAATACTACTTAAAAAATCAAGTTATACTTTGTATATTTTTTATATTACTATTGTTATATACAAATTTAAGGGGAGTAAAAGCGTATTATTATTATTATATTATTATATAGGAGGTACCTACCAGGACCTTTCTTATACCAGTTATATCCTTAAGAATACGTGTACCAGTTTTCAAAACGATCGTTCCAAGATTGGGCCACTAGTTCAAAAGACAGCCCTTTGAATTTTCTTTCGAAATTGGTTTCTAGTCTATAACTTTTGATTGAGAAGTCTGATCGAAAAAGTACGAATTGTTTTTGATTCTACGCACCAAAATTAATAAGAAAAAGTGTTTTCCCGAGAAATTTTGGTGTAGTCGATTTTTGGTAAAAAAAAAAGGAAGGTTAAGTATTCAAATACTTCTCAAAGTATTCAAATACCTTGCGAAGTATTCGAATACTAAATATTTGTGAAAGTATTTGAGTTACAAATACAAATACTGCTTCCATAAAAGTATTTAATTACAAAGTATTTGAATACTTTAAAGGATTTGAATACTAAAAAGTATTTACGAAATCGAATACTGCCCAGCTCTGCTTAGGGGATGGTCCCCAAAGTCTCCCAAATGGCTTCCTGTCGAGTTGGCTAGCTTGTGCGTTTGCTAGTTCCGCTCGGGCGGTTAAACCTCCGCCCTGGGAAAATCTTAATTCCGCACCTCTGCCCCTGGTAGCCTACGTTATCTAAATCGCAGGAGAGCTCAGGCGCCCTTCGCGATTGTACGGTAGATACAGGAACTCCTATTCCTGCTAGCCTACTTTTCCTAAATCGAGAGAGACATAAGGCGCCCCTTGCGATTGTCCAGTCGTGAGGGCGCCGCCCTCTTTACCTAAGTACCTAATTATTATCTAGCTAAGTCATAGGGGTCGCTGTCAGTTTTGTTCTGTTTAGTGTCCACTCCTCTGCCGACCTCGACGAGCACCTTCCACCACTGCCTCCATCGTCCTCGACGAGCTCAACCGCCCGCCCTGGAATCGAAAAGGCCGAGACGTGTCGGCGGCCCTGAATAGTCCCAGCAACTCGCTTTCGAATGCTGGGGCCACCATCGCCGTTTCTACCTCCTCCTCCGTTACCGACCCGTACGTGTAGACTTGGAGTTCGGCGCTCTTCTCCTTCCCGTACTTAAAGAGTTTTTGCGCGGTCGGCCAGGTGTCCAAGCTCGTGGGGGGATCGCCTTTCGCTGGGCGCGTCTTCCCTTATGACGCGTGCCGCCCTGGAGTCCTCAGGTCTCTTCTGCCGTAGCAGCAAGTCGAGTGGCAGAACGTCGCTCGGGACCAGTGATGCCTCTGTGTATACGCGCTCACTGGTTTCCACCGTTCCCTCACCTTGCATTCGTCGCCCCATATTTTTGCGTACAGGGCGGCAAGCTGTATTGCACCCTCTGGATTGCTGTGAGCGCCGGAGAGCGTATTCCGCGGTCAGTCTCGCCGCGGTGCCTACCCTGTTGGAGATATTTTTCGCCTTCTCCTTGGTATTTTGTATGCGGATCCAGCCAGTGCCGAGACGGAACGACAATCTCTTTTCCTGCGATCGTCTTCCAAAGATACTGCGAAACTGAGCTTAGCCTACTTCTTGATGACCTCCTGCGCCTCGTTCCCCCTCGCCTTGAGCGTCTTGTACTGTCTCGCCCGCACCACCAGCAGCGTGTTGTCAGCGTATGCTGTTGTTTCCGTCCCCTCAGGCAGCTCTGGCCTCTGAAGTTCTGAAGACGACCTCGTAGAGGATCTTCCACAGCACCGGTCCGGAACAGAGCCTTGTGGACAGCCCCTCTCCGCCTCTCGCGTCACTTTTCCGTTTCCCAGCGCCACTTTCGCGGTTGTATTCTTGAAGAACTCTCCGTTGGTGCGGAACCTGAACCGGTGCAGGTGGAACCCTCTGTTCTCCCTAACCTGGTACTCGATGCGCGGTAGTAGGCTGGCGAGCTTGTACGATCTGGGCTCGGTATTATCATCTTTCCCAGGTATCGGGATGAATCGTACGGTCTGGATCTTCCAGATGTCCGTGCCGAGGCATCAGTTGAACAGAGCCGTCCACATGGCAAGCGAGGCGTCGAATGCCTGTAGCGCTCCGGCGCCTTCTTGGGGTCCATTGTAGCGATCGCTGCTGATATTTCCGTGCCCGTAATTGACCGGTCGTCGGGTCCGGCACCGTTATCGGCGTCCGTTCCCAGGTCGTGATGGGCCGCGGGAAGATATCTCTCAGGCCCCTCGGTTCTGCGTTCTTCCCTAATACGTTTAGTGACCTTACCACTACACAATCATTTTTGGAAAGTTCTTAGGGCTAAGTGAACGAAGATCTTATGACAGTTGCAGGGAAATGAAGATAAAATCAAGCGAAGGATTGCAGTCGCGCATCGTCCAGACCCTCAATTTTCCCTTTTGAGAGTACCCTTTGCCGACACTCTGTTTTCCAGATATTCGGATTTGATTTTTCTAAGGTGGAGTCACTTGGAAGACCTGAGAAAACGACCGATAAAACCTCCTGAAAGTTCTAACGGTTCTTCAAGTATTGTAAAATACCTTCACAGAGACTGGCTCTTAAAGACTAATAGGGCTTCTGTGTGGTCTCCCTCATGAATCACCAAGAGTGTTCTCTCCAAGAATTGCCGCTCTCTAATTTGACAGTCCTCTTAACGTTTGAGGCTTGACCACCTCACCATTATAATTTGTTTTTAAGGACACCATCAGTTGTACTTTGATTAACCGTCCATTTATGTCATTCATGCTAATTTTATCAGGAATATTTAACCTTTGTGAAGGTATAAACTTAGCATTGAAAGCCGCAATACATATATCAAAGGTCTATTAATAATTCATTAATTAATGGATGAAGTTCAACATTTTGACCATGGGAAGAAACCTCTAATAGGTACTCCAGAATTTCGGCAAAATCGTGAAACGCAGTACTAGACCATTAGTTAATTGAACACTTTTAACGACTTTTTTATGGTCTCGAACACAATCGAACTATATAAAAATGCGTAATAACTCAAGGTCTCCGGTATTATTATTGCCAATTATCGAAATAATTTTGAGGAGCAATTCCATGCACCATCAAGCGCTAACTTGAAAATCCCACCGGCGTCGCATTACGACTATCGCTATACCAATGACAATGGTACTCGAGCTCCAGAACCAATTTAAAATAACGAGTTAAGTAGCGGGCAAAATTGACGTTTCCTACTTGGACTCCCCACAAAGGAAGGTTCGCGACTAATTTGTTATTGCAAAATTGAATAATGGTACGAGATTGACCCAAATATTTACGTACACACAAAAATCCTGGCCGGTGCCCATCCTTGATCCACATGCGCTTATTATTATTAGATCAAGGTCTTCCTTGCCGTTACTAATTTCGATTTCTCTGTTTCAGCAAGCCCCCCTAATCGCTACGTACGACCAGAAAAACGGCGGTGTAAAAACCGATATCATAATGACTAAGTAAGTACTATAACTCCGATTTGAGTTTTCAAAAATTCATTCATCAACAACATAACAACATTGTCAGGTATCTTATTTTTAAATTTCTAAGTCAACTCGGTCGAAAAAAGAACAAAATTCTTTTGGTGATTGGTTTAGTTGTACTTGTATTTTGTCCAACCATGTATATGTGCGCAATTGCAGCGATACTTTAGGGAGCTTTAATTTTCTACGCTTCTAAATTGTTTATTTCAAATTCTTCTTGAGTTTGCCTTTAGAAGAGATCTTAGTTGACCCTCTAGTTTCGGAGGCTACCGGTACAGTGAGTATGTAGGTGCTGTTATTGTTGCGTTTATACATGGTTGCCTAAAGTGTTGTTGTGACTACATTTTTGTAAGTCTTTCATAAGCTTTTTCGCAAATACCGGAGCTGCTAAGAGGTGCTGTTGCCGCCACTATTGCGCTACCAGTGCGTTGCGCCTCAAGTGCGTTGCGCTGCAAGTGCTGAAGTGCTGCGGATAGACAAGGAGAACCAAGGGTACAAATTAAATATTTCTTTCTCCCAAAGACCTGTTTACGTTTCAACTCTTTTTCATTTTGTTGCCTTTAATTTTTTTTAAAAGCAATTAGGCAACAATCCCTTGTTTCCAAAAAATCGTTCTAATATCGACCCTCTTACAGTTATAAAAGTGACAAGAACGACGTTCCAGTTCCGCTCGCCAATGGATCTACGGTACCACTCGTGGAGATCCCATCGAAGGACGAGGAATCCGGCGAGTACAACCCCTTCGAGCACCGGAAACTCGCCCATCCTACATCGTAAGTTGCCTAATAATTACCCCATCTCTTTTGCTAACCGCATTAATTTCACAGAGACGCGGATACCCTCATTCACTTACTGAAGGGAAGCTTGGGGAGCGGAATCCTGGCCATGCCTTTAGCGTTCGCTAATGCCGGGTTGGCATTCGGTCTTGTTGCCACGTTTCTAATCGGCGCGATTTGCACCTACTGCGTGCACATCTTGGTGAAAAGCGCCCACACGCTTTGCATGCGGCGGAGAGTACCCGCGCTTGGTTTCGCTGAAGTAGCAGAGGCCGCTTTCCTTTCCGGCCCACAGTACCTGCACCAATGGTCACCTTTTGCAAAGTCGATGATAAACCTCTTCCTCGTCATCGACCTGATCGGCTGCTGCTGCGTTTACATAGTCTTCGTTTCGAAGAACGTAAAGCAAGTCGTGGAAGTCTACACCGAAACCGACGTCGACTTGCGCATCTACATGGTCGCCCTGCTACCCCTCCTCATCGTGGTCAACCTCATCCGAAACCTAAAATATCTATCGCCACTCTCGATGGTCGCCAATCTACTAATCGGCGCCGGAATGTGCATAACCTTCTACTACATCTTCCAGGACTTACCTTCGCCGTCGTCTCGCGACCTCATCGTCGACGTCACCAAGTGGCCGATGTTCTTCGGCACCGCCATTTTCGCGCTGGAGGGAATCGGCGTCGTCATGTCGCTCGAGAACAACATGAAAACGCCGACGCACTTCATCGGCTGCCCGGGAATTTTGAACACCGGAATGTCGGTCGTCGTCTTCCTCTACGCGTCCGTCGGTTTCTTCGGCTATCTCAAGTACGGACCGGATACGAAGGGGAGCATCAGTTTGAATTTGGAGAAAACCGAAATGTAAGTATTAATCGAGCTGGGTCACTTGCTCTGCACGCTTTTTTCCTATTTATATTTTCTAGTTAATTAACACCTCGTAAAATGACACCCCTATCCAATTTCGGGATGTATACGTTAGTAAATTTGAGCTTCATTATTCACCAATTTCATTTTAGAAGTGGCAAAACACGTGCACAACTTTCATCTATTTATTAATTTACCTGTGTGAACTTGCCCCCCAACTTTAGAAAGCAATAATTTTCGTGATTGAAATGGATTGTGCTTCGTTTGCGCACAATTGCATTTTGTTCGCTCGCTGCCGGTTTCAAAATTACGAAGGAATCAAATTTGGGGGGGCCAACTTCACAACTGCCCCCCCCCCAAGTTTACAAATTTGACATTTTTTTTCTTGTGATCGTTTGCGCTCCCAATACCTTCGTTTGCGCCCCCGTCGTTATTGAGTTATTCCAAATACAAAATTCCATACTGACCCCCCATTTTTCAAATTTGCCATTTTTTCCATTTGATCGTTTGCGCACGTTTGCGCACAATTGCATTTTGTTTGCCCGCTGGCGGTTTCAAAATTACGAAGGAATCAAAATTGGGGGCAGGGGCAACTTCACGACTACCCCCCCCCCCCCAAGTTTACAAATTTCACTTTTTTTTCTTGTGATCGTTTGCGCATGTTTGCGCTCCCAATACCTTCGTTCGCGCCACCGTCGTTTTTGAGTTATTCCAAATACAAAATTCCATACTGGCCCCCCATTTTTCAAATTTGTCATTTTTTTTCTTTTGATCGTTTGCGTTTCGTTACATTGCATTTTGTTTGCGCTGCCGGTTTCAAAATTACGAAGGAATCAAAATTGTGGGGGCCAACTTCACGATTGCCCCCCATGTTTACAAATTTTACATTTTTTTTCTTGTGATCGTTTGCGCTTAGTTTGCGCTCCCAATACCTTCGTTTCCGTCCCCGCCGTTTCTAAAGTTGGGGGGCCAAGTTCACACAGGTTTTTAATTTCATTGAGAGAACGCCAAACCATAGTGCGTTGATGTAGGAGAAGCAACCTATCGAACCCTCAAGTGTTTTTTATCATTATGAAGAATCTTTACTGCACCAGATTTCCCATTTTCCCGTTTTATCTGTAGGAAGCTTTATTTCCTAGAAGTGACCCTTAAGAGATTCCTTCGTTCACTTTTCTGGTGTGTCTTATACGCGTTACATCGATAGGAACTCGTTAATCGTGCAGCATTTTAGGATAACTTTCGTTGCAGGCGTTTCGTGGACCAGGGAGGCTACCTCCCTTGTCTTCCACGTCCTGATATGGGCGTCCTTTGCTATGGAATGGATTTTCTTTAGGGCGTCCTGCGTGCCTTTTCCTTTTTTTCAAAATTAAATTGATCTCGCGAAAATTCATCCAGACTTGTCAGCCTTCCCGCTCCCCTCTAACTTCATGATGTCGCCATTTTGTTCAACCACCGGCTTCCTTTTCTCTAGTTTGCCATGCGCTATCTTACATGTAGAGCTCCACACATCCTGTTGCAGCTCTAAATACAATTCCTTCTGTTTCCTTTTTTTGCATCTCCCTTCCTGAGTCATAGTCCGCCCTCCGATATAGCTTTTCGTCCTTCTATCTTTCCTTGCCACTCGTGCTACTCGCCGCTCACCTTCTCAGAGCCACACAAATCGCCGTGATGATCTTCTGCCTTCCTCATTTTGGCGGATTCTCATTTTCGTTCTTTGGGGAATCTCCTGATTATGAGGGGGCCGCGCCTCTCAACTTGTTGACTTTCCGATTTCAGAGCTAACTTTTGACTGGATAGATTAAGGAAAGTAGTGTGTTTGAGATGTGTCTACATTTACTTTTAACCACATTTTTGATCGCCGACTTTGCTGCAGATTGGCGCAGTGCGTTAAAATAATGATCGCCGTCGCCATCTTCTTCACGTACAGCTTGCAGTTCTACGTTCCGATGGAAATCATCTGGAAGAACCTGAAGCATCACTTCGGCGCGCGCAGGTTGCTAGTCGAGTACATCGTTCGCATACAGCTGGTTGTGATTACGGTCGTAATCGCCGTCGCCATTCCAAATTTGGGCGGTTTCATATCGTTGGTCGGCGCCGTTTGCCTTTCGACCTTGGGCCTGATCTTTCCGGCCGTCATCGACCTGGTGACGTTCTACGAAGATCCCGGAATGGGCCGGTATAATTGGCGCCTGTGGAAGAACGTCCTGCTGATCGGATTCGGCGCGATCGGTTTTATAACTGGATCGTACGTCAGTATACTGGAAATTATATCGGGAGAGTCGTCATAACTGACATGTAGTGAGACTAAGATCGTAAATATGAGCGTTTGAGAATCTCTAAGTCCATGAGGCGTTGAGGAATGTCGTAGTCAACGCTCATTTTGAACGCTAAAGTTGTATTTAGCTAGATTAGATTTCCTGACTGTATGTTCCATCTGTGATTTTTATACAGGTAGAACGTAAACGTAGTCCTAGAATTTTGCCCAGTAGATAACATTTTCTAAATTAGACTCGAATGTGACTTTTGTAATAGTTTCAAAAATAAAAAATCAATGGTATTTATTTTCGTAGGTAATATTTATTACTGAAAGTGGGTTTTGTAGTACTACTTAGATCGTAGCTAGTTGCTCAACTTGATAGTTCTTAGTATGGTCAAAATGACAGCTATTGTATACAGTATTTAGTTCCATTTTGAACTGTGACTTGGTGCCTTAAAACTGTAGTTTTAGAGTATTTTGTTCAGTATTTATTTTAAAATGGTTGTGATCTTACGATCGCTTCTGTGCGAGAACGGAATATGCACAGGGTAGAATCTGTCGACACACAATTTTCTCAAACCACATTTTGCTCTTTTGTAATACCAAATTTGTAAGTTGTTTGTTCCTATTATAGTTGTTAATTTTTCTATGACATTGTGTGTTTTACAGTTCTAATAACTAAAGTATTTGTTTGTTGATAAATTGTTTTTATTATATAATTACCGGAATTTCTGTGATTTACGTACTTGTAAAAAAAATAGGTAACTCCGTAATCACGCAGACAAAAGTACGTGAAGTGAGAATTCAGCTAATCATTAAATTAGGTATAGGTATAGTTGCAAGCTTTTTAGTTTTCAATAGTTCATACATCGTAAAATGCTGTATTTACAAAACATATTTCAATAAAATTGTTTTCTTATACTTTTACCCAAAATCGTCCTGAAACCTTCATTTTCATGCCCACTTTCTGTCAGGAAATCTTGGTTTCCCTGATGGAAGCAGAACAGACACTGGCGACAACTTATCATAATCCGCCATATTGGAGCTAAAAAATTGATTGTAGGATCAAATATACCTTGTCATGTCAAATTGTGACCGTAGAATAATAAATGTCAGTTTCATTTAAGTAAAGATTCTCGTTCTAAACTAACGGTTCAGAAATGATCGTTTAAAGCTTTGCAGAACAACATATGGGAAACCACTGCCTCCCAAATTCTAAAAGATATATGGAAAACGGTATTATTAGCATAAAATATGGTGCAATATCCAAAATCTACATATAAAGGTAACCAAATCATTAAATTGTGTTTGACATTTCAGTGTGTTCTGTGACTTCTTGTCGCGTGTTTCTCCTTCCGGGATAAAAAGCATTACCTACTTTAGTCCAGAGCTGGGGCTGCTCGAAAAAGCGGTGCGAGCGATTCGCTCGCTCGCACTTTTCGAAGCGACCGCTTGGTGCTCGATACTCGAGCGTTTACTTAAAGTGCTCGGCGCTCGAGCGCTTTTTTTCTGTCGACGAGCGGTTTTTTCGATCATGAGCGTTTTTTTCGCTCGTTTATTGCCCAGTTTGGAATTTATCTCCAATATGGCGACCGGAACCAACGACCAATCAAAATCGAGATACCCTGTTGTCGCCATCTGTTTCTATAAAGTCACAGATGGCTAATTACAGCTACCGACGCTATTTGCGTACGCGGACGACCTATACTCGTAATCTCGACAAGATAGAAGACATCGAAAATTTCGTCCAAATCAGTTAGGTATACCTACAGTGACTTTATAGAGGTGGCGACAACAGGGTATCTCGTTTTTCATTGGTCATTGGTTCCGGTCGCCATGTTGGAGCTAAATTCCAAACTGGCCCATAGAAAGCCTTCAAGACGATGCGGTACACTCCGTGTTATAATTACTAATTATAGTGTTTTGACAGTGTCACCTGTGATTGTCCCGGCTTCACGTTACTAGTTTACACTTTACTTCCTGTATTTTACGTTTTCCGTCTCCAGTTTTATATAAACTCGATTTTTAAAGACTCATATAGCTTGGATCTACGATATTATAAGGTATGTAATTCGCTTAAAGTGTTTTTAGATGTAAAACTGTGCCTAACCTTGCTACTGGTAATTGATGTGAAAATTTTTTCAGAAGCCCTAAATACCTAATTAGTTTAGATAGAAAACTGGTTAGAGAAGCAGCTTATCCGAAATTGAGCAGCCAATTCAATTATGGTTATGGATAACGCAATCGTGATCATAAATACGCTTGAATTGGTTTAATGTTTAACATTGATATGATTGCTGTAGCACAAGGAATATTGATCTCTTGTACTCCGTGGACGACTAAACCAACGTGTGTTTTGTCTTCCATTTAAGGGATTAAAGTAATACTTTTTATCCCGGAAGGAGAAACACGCGACAAGGGACAAGAAGTGACCGAACACACTGAAATGTTATATTATTCTACGGCCACAATTTGACATGACAAGGTATATTGATCCTACAATCAATTTCTTAGCTCCAATATGGCGGATTATGATAAGTTGTCGCCACTGTCCTCATAAAGTCACTGTAGCCAAAATTACAACCTCGTCTTGGAGACTTTCTATTGGTCAGTTTGGAATTTAGCTCCAATATGGCGCCCGGAACCAATGACCAATCAAAAACGAGATACCCTGTTGTCGCCACTGTCTATAAAGTGACTGTAGCCAAAATAATATAGTTGGAACATCTGTCGTTCATAGTGTGAACTGAGTGGCACACTCATTACAGAACACTAAAATATTTATGTGGCGTCCTCTGTAAAATAAATAAACAACTAACAAACTAGTAGTAATTTAGTTTTCTGCAGTTATCGGGTTGGGAAAGTATATAAAGGAAAAACGAGAGCAAACGAAGGAGAATAGAATGTAAAATTAGGTCTTAGCATTGCAGTTAAATACGTTGCATGACTCATAGAAACGGTTCGGAACAGTTTTAGTTTTGATTACAACTCCAGGCGAGTAGCATATTCGGATGTGGCGCCGTCTGGTGGCGAATTTAACATAAGATGTGGTGAAATAAGTTCATCGACCGTTAATTACTGTATTAATATTTACAAGCTTACTCCAAATAAAACAACAATTATGACTTCGAAAAACACTTTTCGTTCGTTCAGAGTTTCTTGTTGTGTTGTTGGATCCAGTAATTCGTACATAAATACGGACTCTTTTGTAAAATTCTACAGCTTTCCCAACAGACCATATGAGTTGCAAAGAATAGAAAATTGGATAAAGAAAGTGAGAAGAGTGTAAGTAGGTACACATCTGTTTTCTATTATTTTACATAGTTTCGTCTCCAGAACGGCCGCTTTTTTGTAATTTTTCCTTTGTGTGCAATAATCCAATTTGAGGTTTTGATCAAGCTATTAAAAGGGATCCCCGCGTTAAATGACTTGTAAAACGGCCCCTTGCCCCCAACTTGTGTAGATGGTTTCCTGATATTTTCCACTTTTCATCCACCAAAGAATATTATAATTATTAAAAATGGTGTTTCTGGATGCAACAAGAAAAAAGCCTGGATTTTTAAAATTCCTGCAAGACAGCTGGTTGTAACTACATTGTAATGTAAAGCCCGTTTGTAACGATCAGTTATTTAGTCAATTTTTAAATAATTTTTTTAGGAACAAAAAAAATGAACATTTCATACATCAACTTTGATCAATTTTTTGGTAGTTATTTTAGGAACTGAAAGTTGTCCTATTTTTGTAATGTTTAGAACCTGTCCTATTTTCCCTCAATTTTTTAGTAACTTTTGATAGATTATAGGGAATTTGTAAAATTATAAAATTAAATTTATATGTAATTTATATTCATTTTTAAAGCTCACTGTAATACGTTGACAGTAGATAGAGACCTTAGTTTACAGAAGATAAATATTAAGTCTCCAGATTTAATATAACATAAGTTATGTACAAATGTTTACATTTTACTGGTACTAAAAAATTGACAATATTATTGAATGATGTTACATACAGTTTCATCATTTATGACATTTTTAGGATAGCATTATCTTTATTGAAGTAAAAAAGGACTAAAAATTTGACTAAATAAGTGATCGTTACAAACGGGCTTAACACGCAACTGACCCAACATTAATTTCTACGAGTAAATCAGATGAAAATCAAACGTGAAAAACTATACTCTAATCTCTTAAACCGTACGGACTGCTACCAACCACTCATTAAGGCCGAATTTTTATTTAACATGCATGGTAAACAATGCGATCAAAGATTTGTTTCACCTCACGAAATGTCAGAGTCGTCGTGTGGAGGCGCTGGAGTGCAATATTCGCTACTCGCCTATATATTCGGTAGCAGATTTTAGACTAAGGCATGGGATGGTAAACAAAGGTATAAACCTTGGTATTGACTATTTCTTATGGCCGTATGCACTGACAAATTTAAGCGGAACTTAGTTTAAGCTTTGCCATGGTAACCATTGTCGCAATAATCGTTACTCACCATTATTGTGGAGATTTAAAACGTTTCACTGGTTTCTTGAAGCTCAGATTAATTGGCTTCGGGACGTGACGACCCAATCGCCCATTCCCCTATTCGTGGATGCAATCAGTCAGACAGAGCAGCATGTGATGTACTGTTGGGAGGTAGTGCTCCCACGAAATGTATAGTGTATATATAGTGAGTTGGGTTGGTAGAGCAGCCTTGGCTGAAACCCTGCCCACTCAAAAATAAAGGCAAAATAAAAAGTTATTTCTCTTAATTCTATTTAATTACGGTTAATTACATTTATTATGACATATTACAGCATTAAAACTAGGGCAGTACTTCAAATCAAACTGAGCTATGTATGATTCATCTCATTACACCCAAGAATATCTTGAAGTGTCGTTTGAAGTAATTGAAATATGAGATATTAAAAAAAATGTCTTTTTACCAGTTAACGTGGGCTTACCGTTAAACTGAACTACACTCATATGTGACGATTATAAATGCCAAGTAAAGGAAATTAAATTAATAAAATATCGATCAATTATTAACAGTAGGTACAAATGTAAAAAAGGTCTACTCTACTCTATTGCAATGCAAGTTTTTCTGACCGCCGGCAAGCCAGTAGTAAGATTATGGACAAGACAGATAGTGCCGCTCCAACTCCCACAACCGACCACTGAACAGCGTCAGCGAGTGTCAACGGACCAACCAACTTGGAATCAATTTCTTCCACTAATTCATCAGTTAATTGAAAACCCTAAAATGCCAATCCGTTAGTTTCACTTAGTTCCATTAATATCAGTACTCACATCTTCCAACCAAAATATTGGAAACATCGCTCTGGGCCATTTCTCGGTCATGGGAAGAACTTGTTTGTTAATATTAATCGGCCGCATGATCACGTTGAATTGCAAGCGAATCGCGCCGCGGAGCGGTATGCCGAGGTGCTGAAATCAAATAGTAAGATCTCCCACTTCCTAGTCGCGGTCTTACGGGCTCAAAGTCGACGATGGTGGTGTACGATTCGTTTTCAGAGCTGAACTCGTCCGTAATGGTGTTTCGGTAAGCCTCGTCGGCCCACATCAGGTGCGGAAAGGAGACGATGACCGGTACCCCCAAACACCTGTTCATGTCCAGGACGCCCTTTTTATAACAATGGCTGGATCCGTCTAGGCCTTTTGTCGCGTGTATGCAGACGCAGCCTTGTTCGTCCGGCGCCACGAAGGAATCTTTGTGCATTTTGAATTCGTAACTCGAAATTCCGTTGTACTCCCCTTCTTTTACGTAACTCAAGGATGCCGACCTGAAAATTTCATTCGTAATTTGTAAATTGTTACTATTATCGCAACAGCAAGAATCCGGAGTTATCTAACAATTTATTTGGGTTTGATTGGACCAAACATTTTGGTTCGAGTTACGGTTGCGGTTTTTTAAATATTGAACATTACAGTTATTTATTTATTTCTGCAAAGAGAATTTTATGGCGTTTAAAATAATGATTATACAATTGTCAATGATACAACGATCATATTTTCCGGGATTGTCTCACATCCGCCTTAATTCGTTATCCACGGTACCTATAACTAATCATTTATCGACTTCATGGCGACCTGATGACGCCCTGATGTTCTAGATTTTTAGAATATTCGCGAGGGTTTTCTAGGTAGGGCCATCAGGTCTCGTCGCTTCTCGGTAGTCCTTGTAAGTACTATGCGATCAAAAATGAGTTGCTGTCGAGTGACCTTTGGAATTTTTGGTAAATCGTACTTGAATTTCCAAAGGCGACTCGACAGCATAACTCATTTTTGATCGCCCGTTAGGTGTAACTCGAAATGAATGTTGTGGGCAGAGTTCCAGAATTTTCGGAAACTTTCAAGGGGAGTGTGGGCATGCAAAAAACTAAAAAAGTAACTGGAGAGGAGAAATTTACGAGTTGATAGCAGCATTGATTATACACACAACAATCAATGATAGCAGATTCCTGGCTTTTGGTACCGATTGTGGTACACGAGACACTACGAAAATTTGTATACAAGTTCATAACCTCAACTATTTTTAAAAAAGGAAACTTTACAATTCGTTCCATTATGTCCGAGGAAAGTCTGAATTCCTGGGAGGAAGCCGAATCCATTTACGAATTTACAGTGAACAACCTCAAGGGCGAGGAGGTACCGTTGAACAATTACAAGGGGCACGTCTGCCTGATCGTCAACGTCGCATCGAAATGCGGCTACACAAAGAAGAACTACGAGGAACTGGTCGAGCTGCACCAGAAGTACGCGGACAGCAACGGCCTACGCATTCTCGCGTTTCCGTGCAATCAATTCGGAAAGCAGGAGCCCGGCGACTCCGAGAAGATTTGCAGCTTCATCGAGGCCCGTAACGTGAAGTTCGACGTCTTCGAGAAGATAAACGTGAACGGATCCGACGCGCATCCGTTGTGGAAGTACCTGAAGTTGAAGTTAAAGGGAGTTCGGGGGAACGCGATCAAGTGGAATTTTACAAAATTTATCGTCGATTCTAATGGACAACCGGTCGAACGGTTCGCTTCCAGTAAAAATCCGAAGTCTCTCGTTTCAAACCTCGAAAAATATTGGTAGACTGTCTTATCGTAAATTTAAGTAGGATTAATCGTCTATGTTAATATTAAATTAGCCATAAGAATTGTGCCCTCTTTGTGGCGTATGAAAAGTAGTATTTTGGTACAGCCAAGTTGGTTCTGTATAAATATTTCGATGGGCACTTGAATGTATTTTGAAATAAATGAGTAAAACTACCCCTAATGGGGTTCCCTCTTACTTTGGAGTAAAAATGTTTGAGGAATGTAATATACAAGATTTAGAAATTCTAACGCACCTTGTATACACATTATAGCCACTCCAGATCCACAGCCGGCCGGGAGGTAAGAATTGACTATTGAGGTTATGAACTTTAGCAATAATCAATGAAGTGAATTATATTTACGGAATTAAACCAAATTGTATCCTTAATTCTTTGTGAGTGAAATATTAAGGTAAGGTTACGGTACTTAAATTGCGAACAAGAGGCATTCTAATTTTATCCCAGTTGTAATTTTAGATTATTTTTATGCAAATAAAAGATTAAAACTCACGCCCTTGGAGTGTCAAGGTTGAGCTTGAGCGTGACAGACGCATTTTATTTATTTACTTTTTATTGATAAATTATCATTTTGAAGTGGTGGGGGTAGCACTCAAGGCCTGTACAATTATGCTGTCTCATTTATATCGTCACATACACAAAGTGTCAGGTGTTAGTTGCGGTTTCCGTAGATCACTAATGGCTGCTGCAAATCCCGAGAGCGCGAGTTCGATCTACGATTTCAGCGCGAAGACGATTAGCGGCGAGGAGATCTCGCTGGATAAGTACAAGGATCATGTCACGATAATTGTGAACGTCGCGTCCCAGTGTGGCCTCACCGAGAACCACTACAAGGAGCTCAACGAACTGTACGATCAGTACGCTGAGGAGAAGGGCCTGCGTATTTTGGCGTTTCCGTGCAATCAGTTCGCCAGACAGGAGCCGGGCGATTCGGCCGAAATTTGCACGTTCGTAAGTAAGAAGAATGTCAAGTTTGATATGTTCGATAAGATCGACGTCAACGGATCGAAGACGCATCCGCTTTGGAAGTATTTGAAGCACGTGCAAGGAGGTACTCTCGGCAATTTCATCAAGTGGAATTTTACCAAGTTCGTGATCGATAAAAATGGACATCCCGTGGAAAGGTTTGGACCAAATACTACTCCCAAGGCACTGGTTCCCGCTTTGGAAAAGTTATGGTAGAGTTATTGTTGAATGCTGTTAGTAAATGGATGGGGCTGCACTTGTAGATTTTGTAAGTTAATGTTTGCGGTTTGTGAATGGGAGACCATTAGATAATGCTAGTCATTAGTTTTAGATGCTATGGTTTATTAAGCTTATTTCCAATTACCTAATCAGTTACTTGACTCAAATGTATAATTACAAAATAATGTATAATATAAAATAATAAAGCATTCGCCATTGTTCACTATTGTAGTTTAAATCCAGGGGTCCAGAAATAATTGGTTCATTGGTGGTTTGACCACTTGAGTACGAGAAACTGAGAAATTCAGTCGGGAGCAAATGGTTATTGGATTGAAATTATGTGATTGGAAACCTTGTATGCTGGAGTTGGTGTACTACAACCTTTATTAATATTCATCTAATGAACAATCCATCCACCATTAGTATTCTGGGTAAAATCGAGGGGGCGTGATATTAGTTAAACAATAGGGTTTACAGATGGCGAAATTGTTGCATACATATACCAAATGCACCGGATTGGTAGAAAGTAACCTGGGAACATTTGTGGAAATATCATAGTCAAATTAAATTGGTCGTGTGCAAGTGTTTTTACATATATTTCACATTTTTCCTGTTTCCATTAGTATTTTCGATATTGTATTTGTCGGAAGGTCTTCTAAAACACTAAGATAGGTAACTATATACAGGGTCATTCTTGACGAGCGTCAGTTAGAAAGATATGGAAAACCTTTGAAAATGAAACTAAACTGATAAGTCCTTTAAGGGTTTTGGCACATGATGAATTGAACTAAAATATTTTCAAGATGGCGCCACTTCCGGAAGTAGCCATCAACTTTGTTATTTTAAATCAAGACCCCCTATTTTTTCTACATTTTCGGATTCTACGTCAAATTTGGAGTACAACGATACCCCATAGTTGACCCTTTGCTCCAAGGGCTTCGCCGATATTTAAGTTTTTATGTCAAAAATTGAATTTTTGCAGGGGTAATTTTAAAAATTTATTATTCGAAAACGGTGAGAGATATTGCAACACAGTTTTCACTGATTTATTAAAGAAAGATCGAATTTTCTTATGGTATGCGTAACACTCTAAGAAAGTGAGACTACGCCACTTTTTCAAAGCTCTCAACTTTTAAACTTTTAAATATCCATAACTCCATTTTTTTAAATGGCACCCCCCATTTTGTTCTTCACCCTTGTTTTCTTTTTTCCTAGACCTTTAATTTGATACAAAATGTCAAAAGCTGCTTCAAACGGTTTCCGAGATATTCCATGTTTTAGTTACTTCTTGTAGCAAATTAATAAAAAAATTAATTCGCTTGATGTAATTCTTTTGTTTTTATTATGATAATGTTTAAACGTCAAATTTTCAGGAATAACGGTATGTTACAAACAAAAATACAAAAAAGGAAGCCTGCGGTAGACTCTGAAGGACAAGAAATAACAGCTGTACTGGCGTATTTTGCTGCAAATCCAACAGCATTGCTTAATGATATCCAAAGAGAAATTGACATATCAGACACGAGTGCACAAAGAATTCTCTGTACTGGCGTATTTTACAGTTATTTCTTGTTCTTCAGAGTCTACCACAGGCTTCCTTTTTTTTGTATTTTTGTTTGAAACGTACCGTTATTCCTGAAATTTTGTATTAATTTGCGAATTATAGCCTCTGTGGGTTGCGCCTTGTCAGGGTATCTTTCGGAAAAAAGACGGCAAGTCCTGGCCGCTATTCGATTATATTCACCGTGTATTAATATTAAATTCAAAAAATCTTCATTAGTGTAACCCAAACGAGCCATTTTATTGACGAATAAGTTCAAGCAGCAAAAATTTGACGTTTAAACATTATCATAATAAAAGCAAAAGAATAACATCAAGCCACTTAATTTTTTTATCACTTTGCCACAAGAAGTAACTAAAACATGGAATATCTCGGAAACCGTTTGAAGGAGCTTTTGATATTTTGTATCAAATTAAAGGTCTGAGAAAAAGGAAAACAAGGGCGAAGAACAAAATGGGGGGTGTCATTTGAAAAAATGGAGTTATGGATATTTAAAAGTTGAGAGCTTTAAAAAAGTGACGTAGTCTCACTTTCTTAGGCTGTTACGCATACCATAAGAAAATTCGATCTTTCTTTAAGAAATCAGTGAAAACTGTGTTGCAATCATTGAGTTAGAAAACTAATGGAGGGAATATAATGGTAGAGGGGGTAAGAATTTTTGTAGACGGAAGTTGCCACAGATAGAGGCCACTCGCGTGGATAGGTTCCCGTGAAGGTACATTTTGGCCGACATTATTTGACATATGAAAACGCGGGTCCTGTCACTGTCAGTTTTCCACCAAATTCAAATTTTATTAAATTTGCAATTTTAAAGTACCTAATAATTTCGGATCGGTTTGTGCTCTGGTTTATATACAGGGTGTTTTTTTGGGAGCTTTAGTTAAAAGTTTCTGAGAAAGTAAAACAGGTAGGTTTTTGAAAATTTGTACTTAGGAGTTACTCTGAAGGCCGAATCGATGTAAAATATTTTCAAAATGGCCGCACTTCCGGAAACACCGGAAATAGATAGTAACTTCGTTATTTTAAATGGCAACCCCTATTTTTTATTGCATTTTTGGATTCTACGTGAAATTTCACTTCTTTTGATACCCATATGTCGATATCTACCATTTATGGTTTTTAAGTTATTTTGACTTTAAGAAAAAAAATGGCGGATGCAGATGGTACCTTGATAATTGATTACTTGCAAACGGTTTTAGTCATGGCAACCTATTTTTATCAGTGCATAGAGAATGAATAGGGCTTCCTTTTTGTGCACTTAAAAAAAAGTTAAGTTGCGTACGACCGCCCCTATGGATATCCAAATTTATGAAACT